TTACGCGGATGTTCGGGTTTTATGATCTCTCCCTCTAATTTGCTAATTGGTCATTATATGGGAGGCAGTAATCGCTGGGTAAAGACACCAGTCCGAGTGAGCGTGGACCGGACCACTAGAGGAAAGCCTGGTAGTCTTGAGATTAAGAGCAGACTAGCTGCTAGTCTTGAGATTGAGAGCAGACTAGCTGCGGCATTAGTTTAGCGAGCCGTTAGTTTTAGTTACCCTCCAACTTTTACATAATCTTTATTAAACCTGTTAGCTTTCTTATAAAGTTATAACTAAAGTTGTACTCGACAATCTGCATTCCTTATTATCCATGTTGTCAGGGTATTAAATTATTAAGTTGTATAATTTGGTCTCCTTTAGTCTGATCCAGCCAGATTACCTCAGAGCAATTAAATAACCCTGCTGTGTGTATTCTTTAAACATATACTGTACTACGTCAACGTTTTAAATATGCGCTTCTAACTCTAAGTTATATTAACTTTGCAGTAGAAATTAAATAATCGTACAGAAGAGCCTAACTCTCGGTTATAACTTTGCAGAAGAGCAGAAACTGTTCCTAACTCTCAGCTATAAGTTTGCAGAAGAGCAGAAACTGCTCTTAACGCCGTACACACACGTACACACACACGCACACGCACACCGTTAAGCTCCTAGTGACGAAACAAAGCCTGTAGTTTATCAGGGCTAATTGCTGGATTGACGGGACCCCCGCGGATTGTAGGTGAGTGGGCCACTGTGGATTAGCAGAGCATTAGCAGCTTGTCTTGTATAGTTTGTTTACTGAACTCGGGGCTAGAAGATAGATAGATAGACGGGCTTCAGTGATCAACCCCACCTCTCCTCCCTCATCCCTTCATTCTAGATAAGCTGGAGGTTTTGCGCATTCAATTAAAGCTCCTCACAATTCAGTTGTGCTAATTATAACTTGGTCAGAAAGTTTTTCTTTGCCCGGCTCTTTCGCCTGAAAATAGTTTTCCCTAGTTTGTATTTCACGTTCAATGAATGTCCAAATCCCAAATCTTCAAATAAATGGTATTAACAATGGTAAAATTTCTTTCCTCTGATATAACGGCTTAACTGGTTCAGTAAAATTAGAATACATAGCTTTGGCCCAAGACTAGTCAATAACTACGCTGTAGTCAGTGTAATGAATATTGATAAGAAACTCGTCTTTGATGGTAAAAGATGTGTCAGTAGAATCAGTCCCATTTGTAGTATCACATACAAGTTGTTTCCTTCTCACTATTTAATTATATATTTGATCTATTCGTAACTAGACTACGTTCGGTTGTTAAGGCTAGACATCTGTACTAATTAAGTTCGCCAAGTTTACTATGTCTGCAAGAATTACTAAGGATTACCTAAAATAGGGCTGTATGCAGTAGCCTACATAATTTATTCGTGTACTCAATCGGTATTCTGAAGAGAGCCATTCGCCGAGAAGATTGCTCATATTTTAACATCTTAGGAGCGAACAAAGTTGTTCTATTCTGGTCGTTCCAGTTTACAACATTTAATTTCCCACAACTTCTTGTTTGTAGAATTTGAAAACGGTTTTTGTTGCTGTCGTTAATACTCAAAGTACAAGAATTGCGGCTGCATTTTGCAATTATCTTTTTGATAGCTACTTCATAACTTCATCTCCGGTTCTTTTCTTTACCATATAATAAACGGAGAACTATGTTTGCTTACAATTTCACTTTGGTTCCGTATCACTGTTACTTATGTGGACGTTGATATTTGGCCTTTATTAATGTCAGGTTTGTAGCAGGACTTTTGATGATTTCACTTAATATTATATAAATACACTTAATACTAACTGTTGAAGAGCTAGAAGTAAAGTTAGTAATATGCTTTACCAAGATGGTTGCTCGATATCACAAGAAATGATTGACTTATAGCCTCTCAACAAAACAAATTGTGCTTTTCCGAAAAATGCACTTTGACCAGGAAATGCTCGATTACAAAAATGGAAATCCTCAAACAAAATTTGTAAGGTATGGAAAGGGTGCGCTAGATGGTTACTGAACTTCCTATGAGGTCATTTGGGTTGGCAGTTTTGGACAGTTTTGGTGTATGCCCCCTTAAAACGTGGATTCATTTGATATTTTGGGCATCAGGTTGTAAAAAATAAAAAAGTGACCGGTCAAGTAAATAATCTCCTCCTCTCCTCCTCTCCTCCTCTCCTCCTCTCCTCCTCTCCTCCTCTCCTCCTCTCCTCCTCTCCTCCTCTCCTCCTCCTCCTCTCCTCCTCTCCTCCTCTCCTCCTCTCCTCCTCTCCTCCTCTCCTCCTCTCCTCCTCTCCTCCTCTCCTCCTCTCCTCCTCTCCTCCTCTCCTCCTCTCCTCCTCTCCTCCTCTCCTCCTCTCCTCCTCTCCTCCTCTCCTCCTCTCCTCCTCTCCTCCTCTCCTCCTCTCCTCCTCTCCTCCTCTCCTCCTCTCCTCCTCTCCTCCTCTCCTCCTCTCCTCCTCTCCTCCTCTCCTCCTCTCCTCCTCTCCTCCTCTCCTCCTCTCCTCCTCTCCTCCTCTCCTCCTCTCCTCCTCTCCTCCTCTCCTCCTCTCCTCCTCTCCTCCTCTCCTCCTCTCCTCCTCTCCTCCTCTCCTCCTCTCCTCCTCTCCTCCTCTCCTCCTCTCCTCCTCTCCTCCTCTCCTCCTCTCCTCCTCTCCTCCTCTCCTCCTCTCCTCCTCTCCTCCTCTCCTCCTCTCCTCCTCTCCTCCTCTCCTCCTCTCCTCCTCTCCTCCTCTCCTCCTCTCCTCCTCTCCTCCTCTCCTCCTCTCCTCCTCTCCTCCTCTCCTCCTCTCCTCCTCTCCTCCTCTCCTCCTCTCCTCCTCTCCTCCTCTCCTCCTCTCCTCCTCTCCTCCTCTCCTCCTCTCCTCCTCTCCTCCTCTCCTCCTCTCCTCCTCTCCTCCTCTCCTCCTCTCCTCCTCTCCTCCTCTCCTCCTCTCCTCCTCTCCTCCTCTCCTCCTCTCCTCCTCTCCTCCTCTCCTCCTCTCCTCCTCTCCTCCTCTCCTCCTCTCCTCCTCTCCTCCTCTCCTCCTCTCCTCCTCTCCTCCTCTCCTCCTCTCCTCCTCTCCTCCTCTCCTCCTCTCCTCCTCTCCTCCTCTCCTCCTCTCCTCCTCTCCTCCTCTCCTCCTCTCCTCCTCTCCTCCTCTCCTCCTCTCCTCCTCTCTCCTCTCCTCCTCTCCTCCTCTCCTCCTCTCCTCCTCTCCTCCTCTCCTCCTCTCCTCCTCTGAACCGCAATATGTCGTCCTGCCACACAATATCTCCTCTCTTCTGAATGTAGAGGAGGCTATATATACAGCTAGCTGGAGTTGCTTGTGACACACCAGGAAATATTAACCACTTATCCGGACCACTTATCTGACTCCTCTCTCTACACGCACTGTATTAGAACTTTAGATCATTCCTACTCTCAGAGAGCGTCCTCATTGGAGGATGTTTTCAGGGGAGCCTTGTCATTGGCTAGAGCGGTTATACACACGGTATATTACGAGTAGCTTGGTTGTAGGCAACTCAGTAAATTAAACATGGTATTAATGTTGTATTTGCGTTCTTCGTTATCAGTGATTTATGTAGTAGTCAGTGATTGTTGGCATATTATGTTGTATTTGTGTATGTTATTGGTGCAGATATGATAGTTTATGTCGTATTTGTATCTTGGTATTGGTAATAGTATCACTTTTTAAAGCTCCAATTGGGAGAGACTGTTTTGCCAAATTGTTTCCTAATCGACCCTAAATGGGCTCTGGATATGATCCAATACAAGCTTGTTTTTTGGTTATAATGACGACCCGTACGAGTCAGACAAATTTACATATTTGTCCTTCATAACTTAGTAGCTTTATTGACCCAGGGTAGTGTTGCAAGCCCTTGTTTTTTAAGCAATTTGCAGTGTACTTGGCTAGTTAGTGATGGTAGCGTAAACGGTGTGGGTCACTATTAAAACGGATGGTTACAGGCCGGTGACTGAGATGATTTGCAGCGTACTATCTGGTGCTGGTCGTGATATAGACAATTCTGAATGTTAGAAACTTTAACTGAAATTGTGTTTTTTGCTTTACGCCAAATCACGCCAATGGAAACATGTCTGTAGAATCATTGGTGGTGGCGTAAAACACTGCCCCATGGAGGGTTTATGGTCCTATAGCCGATTTTATGATGATACAGTTACACCGAAAAAGGCATTCTAAACACATTTTGGACACATTCAAAACCCATCGTTATAATTTATTATTTATATGGAAAATATGGGGTATTATAAAAATTCTTCACAGAAATTTAAGATATGACAAGATAATGCTGTTTCCTTCAGACTTCAGAGTATCCTTAAATCCCTTTACTTCGTTCTCCTTAAGTTCCCTACTTTGACTTTAGCCGCATCAAATCCTTCCCAGGACGGTTCTGTGGTATGTGCGGTATAGTTTCGACATTGCTATAGACATTTTGTGTGTAATGAGAATGGTTTCTCTATGGTAGTAGCTCTCCGTAAAGCTAAATCTCCCGCCGTCGGGGGACTCTGTAAGCTTTGATCAATACTCACGACGGGGAGTTCTACAAGCTCCGGCCAAGTACTACATTTATGTTGCTTTGGTTACTGTTTCGTAATAGCTGTTTATTGTTTAAGCGTACGTGACTGTATGGTCCAAGTAACAAATCTCAAAAGACACGTACCGAATTAAACGATCGTTGTATAAAGCTAAAAAGAGTTGGAACGTTTTAAAAAAAGCTCTTTCCGGATATTTCCTTCATATTCAACATGCTCAACTTACACAGTGTTGACTCTTTTCCATGATTCCTATCTTCTTCTCAACCCTCATCACATCTCAGCTCAGTTTTTAACTATAAATAGCTTATAATTTACCCTAGACTCTTATAGTAAAGAGTGGTTTTGGAGAAGGCCCTCACTGTTCCATACCTACTAAAGATACGGTATAAGTATAACCGTCCCCCCTATCTGCGTTCTAATCTGACACTTACAGTCCACACTCTTACAGCTATGACATGACCAGAGCAAGTGACACACAGTCGCTTGAGAAGACTCATGATAATATCCCGATATGGAAGCTCTCTTAAAGTCGAAACATTATGACGGTCCCTTCAACATGGAGGACATTGTGGTGGAATACCAGCATGACAAAGGTAAGATTAGAGGGACCAGTGAGGGGGCCAGGGGGGGGGGGGGGCTGTGAGTCTCGCATCGTGATGTTAAATATTAATTGATGAAGTTCTTGCGCTGACATAACTCCAATAACCATGTTCCTTTCAATGGAGTCTGCTAGTATTAGAAGGTAACAGAAACCCTCTTCCCATCAGGCGGTATAATCGTAGCGAACAAGGAAGCTAGATATGAGAACAACACGGAACAGAAACTTTATCCTGCTAGTGAGGAGGAAGTGAGCGCAGCAGGGGCGATCCGCGCAAAGGTGCAGCGAGGTGGTAAGTTGGGTATTTCCAGATATTTGTGTTGGCGCCAGGGGGTAGTGTATAGGGCTGAAAGTGTGCGGCGGAGCGTAAGTGTTTGGTTACAAGCACTTTTTCAAATAATTTTAATTTTAACGATTATCTAGAAAATGTTGGTATTATTTTAAACTTTACCCAGCATCCTACAACAACGGCCACACTGACAGAGAGAACCGTTTATCTCCGGTGAACGTTACTGAAACCTCCCTCCACGTCCCCAATGGAAACATTGTAAGTCCAGTCTAGATCGAATAACAGTGGGTAGGTTACAATGATGACACCTCGATTAACAATAATAAAACCTAGTACTTGCAGTGTAATCATTACTGCAGGAAATTATTATTATAATGTCTAGCTCTAAGTTAAATCCCGTGTCTTTACCAGGAAATCTCTTAGATTTTTCATGTAAGATTGTAGACTTATCTGGCTATAATAATACCTCCTTGCTAGACATAATTTTCTTTACAATGGCCACTAATCATTATCTTTTGGAGGTAATTTCTGTTTCGTTTAAGTTCATTTAAAAAAGTACAGGCTAGCAGGTTAGTTAAAATATTCATGGAATGCCGACGGACATATTATATTGATATATTCCTATTTTACAAATAAAAGCCTAGCCTAGAAAGCAACATTATTTTATTCTCTTGATTGCAAGAAATTTGTACTCAAATTGAAAGACAAATACCATTGATTTTCTTTAACTTCTTTAATCTTCAGTCCTAGATTTTTAAACTTTGCAGTGTAACTTTTCCGGACAAGTGATCTACCTTCCATTTAGTTGCCAGAGCTACAGTAATCAGGAACTGGTTATTCGCTGGTAATCACCCATCCTGAAGCGAAATATAGCTTAGTACTACCAGTCCAGTATAAATTGGAATTAGTCGATCTCAAAGTTAACAACAACACAGACTCCCCAACATTACTCTCCGCGTATCCTTATCCAACTTAACTCCAAAATAACCATAAGTAATCACTATAATCCTTACAAACTGGGCCGTTTATTTTAGGATTTCTCCCAGGATGAGTCGCCTCGGAGGAGACTAGAAAGACTACTAAGGACCCCGACACTTGACCTGGTTACTAGCCGGGAGATTGAACCTCCGCAACCTCATCTTCCTCCTCGTTCTCGTAGCATGTCTCCTCATGATGTTAGTTTAACACGTACCGTTTAACTGATTAATTAACTTAATTAGCTGGGCTCCAAACTAATGAGTAGGTAGACAGATCACTGAAGATTTTATAATTACCAGGTTACCAGGTTACCAGGTTACCAGGTTACCAGGTAGACAGATCACTGAAGATTTGATAATTGATAAATTATGGGACGTCCTGCTGAATACAATAGAGAAATTTCGATTTCTTTGTAATGCATATTTAAACGCTAACTTACTGCAGAGGTTGCAGACTTACCCCAGACCAACCAAACTCCAGAGGTGGCTCGTGGGTAAAGTGTGGCCGTAGCGTCTCCTTTCGACGAACTCAGGGGTCTGGGGGTAAAGCCAGAGGATTTTAGGACCCTAGAACTCCTAGGTGCTAAAACTTCCCTAACAGTATTTAGTAAGCTCATAAGCTGACAATACTTTCCCCACAGATAACCCAGTACCAAGTCCAACGGCCCAACATGGTACGGAAAGCGGAGACAATAAGAAACGTGTTTCCTCACGCAGTCGACAACATCAGGTCACCTCGCGAGCATCAGAAAAGTCTAGGAGCGTTCAACCTTCCCGGTCTCATGTACGAGAATGGAGATACTGGTAGTGGAGGGAATGGAGGAGGAGCTGGGGGTAAGGGAGGAGGAGGTAAGCTTTATCTTTCTTTTCTTTTAACCTGACGGATTTTTGCTTTTTCTAATTATATGCAATTTGAGGGTCGTATTCGTAACCTAATGGTTTATGTCAACAGATGTGTCGATTATTGTTTCAAGATCAACTTCAACAGGTAGCATTTACGATGGTGGCGGAGGCGGTGGTGGTGGCGGTGGAGGTGGTGGCGGAGGGGGAGGTGGTGGTAGTGGTAGTGGAGGTGGTGGCGGTGGTGGCGGTGGAGGTGGAGGAGGTGGTGGTGGAGGCGGTGGTGGAGGTGGTGGAGGCGGTGGTGGTGATGATGATTTTGTGGAAATCCCAAGAGCTGGAATCGGCATGTACCAGAGTAAACTTGAACGAGACTTTGATGTTAACAAGGAGCTTCTAGAAATCGCCGAGTCAGGTAAGTTTGTTAAGCTTTCTAGATGAAAAGAATGCCATTCTAGAACCGCTTCACTTTCAATAACCATAAAATTAATGTTATATACAATGTTTATGTAGCGACATTGAGAATACATAATTTCAAAATATTGTAAGCAGTACTGAATGGATATATATTTTTGAGAGATGATGTAAAAGATTTACTTTTTAGGGGACCATGTACGATTGGAAGAGTTCCTAAAGGCACAAGCAGGGATTGTTGACGTGAATTATAAACAGTTGTATAAATACCACGCCTACTACCCTGATATTCTTATTCCTGGTTAGCTTTTATTTTCTAGGCTACTAGGTTACTAGGTTACTAGGTTACTAGGTTACTAGGTTACTAGGTTACTAGGTTACTAGGTTACTAGGTTACTGGGTTACTAGGTTACTAGGTTACTAGGTTACTAGGTTACTAGGTTACTAGGTTACTGGGTTACTAGATTACTAGGTTACTAGGTTACTAGGTTACTAGGTTACTAGGTTACTAGGTTACCAGGTTACCAGGTTACCAGGTTACCAGGTTACCAGGTTACCAGGTTACCAGGTTACCAGGTTACCAGGTAACAGTTGTTTAAACTTATAAATACCACGCTTACTACCCTCTTATTCCTGGTTAGCTTTTATACATCTTTTTTTTGTCAAAACTAATCTGTCAAATCTGCAATCATAAAACTGATGATTGATGCATCTACTGAAGTACTGAATCAATTATGATATGATGTTTTTTAGTTCTGAAGGTTTAAGTGATGTTACTTGGTATGTAATTGTATAGTACTTGGTATAAACACGTGCTGATATCCGCTCTTTCAGATGCTAAAACCCCGTTAACCTGCGCTGTGAGGAGCCAGTCCTTACCTTGTGTAGAACTCCTGATAAAAGACGGAGCCAAGGTGACCACTAACCACAAGGAAATACTGTATGATCCGGACCATGCTTTGTCCTTGTCGCCGCTGGCCGCCTCTGTTAAGCTCAAGCACAGGTAAATTCATGAATTATGGAAATTTTATATTCATGTAGCCATTCTGAATGATGGTAATCATGAATTTTTTGATTTCATTTAGCAGGTTCTCGTATGCAGCAGCCGCAATTCTGCATAACCAATTTAGCTTCAAATGGGTTTAAACTTTAAACCGATGCCGAACTCACTTTGAACTCATGTATAATACATATAATCGGACCTCTACTCTAGAGAAGACGTTCGAAGTTCCAGAGCTTATTTCCATGTCTAAATTAGTATATTATTACTGGGTAGGTATTGAACAACTGACTACTGATTAGTATTAATTAAGAACAAAATTAAGAACGATCACGTCAGAATTAAGAAACCGTGCATTAAAATGATATCCCCAGGAAAATAGCAGAGTTTTTGGTGGAAAAGGGAGCAGATATCAGGATAACATTCATTCTCCTATCCAACGTTTTCGACCCATTCCTTTTCAAGATATTTGAGGCGAGCAATATTGAAAGCTTGTCGCCCTCCAGCAGTTTAAGCAGATCCAAACCACCAGATTTGGATGGGTTGAAGGAGCTTATACATCCAGATATCCTCTGCGCTTGGCCCTCACCTATCGATATAGCCTTCAAGGTAGATATAACAGAAAAGTACTTAAAAAACCTTAAGAATAAACTTCATTAGCAAATCATACGCTGTATTAATTAAGGTATTAATCTCATTGAACCTGAATAGTGCAATGTTCAGGTGAGCAAAGCGTTTGAATTTCTAAAAGGAATCAAGGAAGAATACAGAAAAGACTTTGCTGCATTAGCTGCTCAATGTGACAAGTTTGCCTACGACTTCTTGAGTCAGTGTCAGACTCCCAATGAAGCTAGGGATCTACTTGGTAGAGCTGGATTCCTTGATGAGGCTATGGACGCCAATAAAAAAGAGGTAAAACCAAGTTTAATTCTATTTTATTTTTTTACTAATTGTTAGAGCACTGATCTATAACTGAATTATTGTTAATAATAAGATTTATCATTAATAATAATTTGAATCTCATCGAAATTTCCAGTTTGTAGCACATCCGCTAAGTCAGCAGCTCCTGAAGATGGAGTGGCAGAAGGGTGACGCCTCTTATTTGAGCACCGCTAACTTCAACGGATGGTTCTACGCCTTTCTCAGAGTCCTTGTTTTACCACTTTTAGTCCCGTTTTCGTTTCTGCAATTTCTCGTGTCGAATGAGAGCATCAAAAAGGTAAAAAGTAGATTGGGTAAGATAAGATGTAGCACTAGGAAATCAGAAAAGAAAACTGTGAGTTATGACATAAACCAAATCTATTTTCAACGAGAGTTAACAAAACTAAAACTTTTTGCACCCAGGCGAATGTAACGAGGATGATAGAAGTTATAAACGTTCCCGTCTACTGTTTCATGGTCCATGCCACCTCATCCTGTCTCTTCCTCGTTGTCATCCTCTGGCTCTGCAACACCACTACCAAACCTTACATCACCGTTCAGGAGTACATCCTTTGGACCTTCGTTTTAGGGAGGGTGTTGGTAGAGACCCAACAGATTCAGCGGACTCGTATGACGGAGTACCTCAGTTCAATGTGGAATATCGTGGATATTATCAGTCTTATTCTCTTTGTCGCCATCATTATCATGAGGATCTCTTTTTATTTCGCGTTCCATTATTTTTATGAGACTCTTATTTTATCGGGGATAACGAACGGTATTTCTGTGTACTCTTATCATACGGATATCAAGAGCGTTAATACTACAGTAGCTGAAGAATTACTGATTCAAGTGACAGTGCCTAAGATAGGCGCTTACACTGAGAACGATCTGTTAGCTGTAATAAATATCATATACTCGATAAACTCAATAATAGCGTGTACAAGACTGCTGCCTCTGTTCGAGGCGAGTTATTCGTTGGGGCCACTTCAACTGACTATGGGAGGCATGTTGGCGGATCTCTCCAAGATAATCTGCTTGCTTTTCACTGTTATTTTAGCCTTTTCCCTCGGCATAGCCAAACTGTACAACAGTCGATATTTCTATCTTTATGTGAACGGCAACGCTGATTTGCTTGATAATGACAAAGCTCAATTAAACGAAATTCAAAATGACACTCAGCATAAGCTTCGCAGCATGAACTGTCTTTACTATGAGACGTATAGTGTGGATATTCCACCTTGTAATTTCCAGACGAATCATATCCAGCCTATATTATTTCGAGAGTAAGATAAATCTTTAATTGTTATTTTACTTTTCTTGTAGGCCACAATTTACTTACCAATAAAATTTCAAATTCATCTTCACTAAAATGTTCTAATATAGTCAAATTCTGCAGTATATCAGTTTTCTCTCCTCAGTTTCTCGATGACGTTTGTAACGATGTTTTGGTCATTATTCGGACTAATTGTACCGGAAAATATTGAATCGCCTGATAGCACGAGCGAATACCTTGGTAAAATATACTTCGGGGCTTATATGATAATCGCAGCTATTCTGCTTATCAATATTCTGATTGCGATGATCAACAACACATACAAGAAAGTCATTGTGAGTAAAAGCTTTATGGATATGTTCATTTGAAGTTGAGGATATTGGTAGACACAAAAAATTGGGGTTTCGACATTAGTGGCATAATTTTACCTTTTGGCAGTTATTATTATGTATCTATCATTATTAACCTAGCATGTTCAGAAGTTCTGAGCATTAGTCACGTGACCAGGCATTATAATGTTTAAGATGTCACATTTTTGGTGAATCACGGCAGCTAGGGGTCCATATTTATTCCGGCGCATGTTTTTAGTGTGACGATGCTAACATTTCTGTGCCGGCCGTATTTAAGTTATATCTTTTCACCTGATTAAGATATCGTTGTTACAAAGTTTGCCTAGAGCATGTCACATATAATTTGGATGTCACATATAATTTGTTGTGACAAAGTTAACAACACCGTGCCTTTTAATAGGGTTACTAATATTTACCAATATCCTCAACATTTCCTTATATACTTTTGATTTTAATAAAACAGCTTTCAATGTATATATTATATACTTCCAAGCCATTATTTACCTGCGCCATTTCAACATATTCCACTAATTCGTTGACAATTTCCTTGATAACCCAACACCTCAGGATAACTCGGATGTTGAGTGGAAGTTTGCTCGAGCCTCGTTGGTTCAGGAGTTTAAAGAGGCCCATCCTATAATCCCTCCTTTTAACCTTGTGACAGTCTTTTGCACGAGCATAGCAAAGTTTTTAATTCTTACCTGTGGAAGTGAACGAGCTAAAAGAGCTATCGAGGTAAGAATAATCTGGAGATAAATTGTAAGGAAAAGAGGATTATTGGGAGAGTAAAATTGAGAAGAGAATTATTCTGAGAAATAGAACAGGGAGGCGTTATTCCTGAAGAAAAATGAGAAGTATTTACTCTAGCAGTACCAATCTTAGCAGTACTTACCCGAGTAGAGAAACTTTCAAATCTACACATAAGTCTAACGAGAAACTGTAATTTTAGCACCTATTGATAGTGTCTGGTGCTGAGAGCGAGGATAATGTTAGAGAAAGGAACGAAATGGCGTCCAACAAGAGCAACAAAGCTTATCCCTCCTCTAGTAAACTTAGTGATGCTGATAAGTCCTCAGAGAAAATAGATGTTGACGTGTTCGAACAACCCAAGGTAAGCTGTTGCATATTTTATTGAGTTTGTTCACACTTCAAAAATTTTTGGGAACTATGTGAATCACATACATTAGTTCCTAAAAATCTGGGACATAAATTTATGTGCCATTAATTTTTTTGTCGAATAAAAAGTAACTTGTTTTGAATGTGTTTGTATTGCATTTGAGTCGTTTTAAAATTATCAAGTTTGTCATCCACTGCCTTCAATTTCAGTTGCTTGACTGCCTTCGACACTATATTTAAATAAAATAAGCTAATATATTGTCTATTTTGATAATCTAAGACTGATGAAATATCATTGATTAGAGAGCAAAATTGTCCAAATTTTTCGTAACCCAACAAGTCCGAATTTCCTGCCCAAATTTGTTGTTTCAAATTTATTGAGCCCAAAGTTTTGGCACGAACATTTTTGGGAACTAAGGTACTATGAGGGGAAGAGAGGGGTTTATAAATGATTACGCTAGTGTAATTTTAACACAATAGCTATGTGTAAAACTAATTACGGAGGGGGAGGGGGGGTTACAAATTGGCCAAAAAGTGATTACGTAATAGACTCCTTACTGTGAATCGCTGCATAGAAATACATTCTCGAATGTGTATAACTTCAAAGTCTGAATTTCCATTTAGATGATAGTTGCTCATTACGTAAACGTATAGTATCGACTATTAGTGGGGAGAAGGTTATACATATTACATAATATAATACATATATCTGTATTGTTTTGTAGTCGCCATGATACTATATGAAACATAAAACTTTAGTGAACAGATTTAGCAAAACTTATCGTAAGGACCAGTGCTAAGTGTTCAGCTTTGAGTCAGACATAAAAAAGACACCGGACTCCATAAATTCTGCTAGTTACTGCTTGTTACTGCTTGTAAATGCTCTCGTTTATAGTTATCTTATAGATTTAATCTGTTATTTAATGCACCAATAGGTCCTGAGTCTGATAACACACATGGCTCAGTACATGCTCAGCACGTGTCGGATACAGATTATACACAGAGGATATAAATGAATAGATAACGTAACAGGCGTTGTCACACACAGTCAAATGAAGCCCATGACTTGTATATCGTCTACACTGAGAGGATGCGTTATAGTTGCCTGACTATTGTTGAACTTTATGGAGGCACTGTGGTAGCTTACTTAGAGGTTACTAAGAGGTTGCTAAGAGGTTACTAAGAGGTTGCTAAGAGGTTACTAAGAGGTTACTAAGAGGTTACTAAGAGGTTACTTGGAGGTTACTACGAGGTTAATACGAGGTTACTGAGAGGTTACTTGGAGGTTACTTGGAGGTTACTTGGAGGTTACTACGAGGTTACTACAAGGTTACTAAGAGGTTGTTGAGAGGTTACTTGGAGGTTACTACGAGGTTACTAAGAGGTTACTAAGAGGTTACTAAGAGGTTACTAAGAGGTTACTACGAGGTTACTACAAGGTTACTAAGAGGTTGTTGAGAGGTTACTTGGAGGTTACTACGAGGTTACTAAGAGGTTACTAAGAGGTTACTTGGCGGTTACCTGGTTACTAAGAGGTTGCTAAAAGGTTACTTGGAGGTTACTAAGAGGTTACTAAGAGGTTACTAAGAGGTTACTAAGAGGTTACTAAGAGGTTACTTAGAGCTTACGTAAAAGCATATAACCATGATTTTATTACAATGATTATAGTTATAGTAGCAGATTTTGTGTATTTTGTTACTGTAGCCCTCATATCAACGGGTCAGTGAGTTTACTACTTTGGGATGAGAAAGTATACTGAAGGCTAATTTTGGTAAACTCCCTTATGTTTAATCCAATGAAGTAAAAGCCCTTTCAGTATCTTAAAATTAAAGTTTTGCCACACTCTTCAGGTTGATATTCTGCAACAAGTGCTTATCCGTATGCTTGTTAAGAGGTACAAGAAAAGTGGCATGAGTCGTAAGATGCAGAGAATGGTCATCGCTGTTGTCGGAGATGAAGTGATGACACTTCCAGCCACAGGTACCGTAATATTTTCGTAATGTTAACATTTCTCTAATGTTTTTATAATAGTATAATGCAGCATCTCCTCAAAAAGTTTTCCCATCGAAGGGAATACGCTCTCCTCTCTGAGGGAAATTTGTGTATAACTCAAGAGGCTTGCATTGTATGTCATCGATTAGGACCCGTATGTAATTCATCCTCCCTAATCGTATTACATGTTATTACATGTTATTACATGTTATTACATGTTGTTAAATGTTGTTACATGTTGTTACATGTTGTTACATCCTTTATCCCAGGCGATATTGACGAGGAAGTCGAAGACGACATCCGAGAACTAAAGGAGAAGATGGGTATTGCAACTATAAAGTTAGAACAACTATCTGAAGACATGGCCACCAAACTGACACTGATATCAGAAAAACTGAATTCTCTCGCGGGGGGTGTCCGGAGTGCTACACCTCCCCACACCTTGAACTTAAACACATCTCCCAGAAAGCTACCCCTGCCCAGAAATAACAGGCCCCGGTCAAATAACATGTGATCAGCTAGCAATCACGTGACAGGGTTTCAATTGTGGTGTGGAGCGTTAATTTAACTGACGAGGTATCTTTAAGTAGCTATCTTCATGGTGCTGTGAAAGTGTATTTGTATGATTCAGATCTTGATAACTAGGCTTCTAGTAGCGAATGTGGTTAATTCCAGATCAAGGTATTGTCTTTCAACCAAATAAGTACTCCAATCTAACGCTTTTTAGTGGTTAAGTTTATTATCGCTGCGGTACAGGGAATCATGGAGGGGCGTTATAATAATATTTAGTTTTCATTTAGATAATATGGCACTATCTCAGATAGGTGGATGGCTTTGCTGGCAATATTGTTAATGCCTATGTTTCATGTTTATAAATGTTTTAGGCTTAAGTATCTCATAATAGGTTGAATCCTTGATAAAGGCGTAATGATGATGATTGTTTCTATCAAGCTATTCGTTAAAATCGTCAATACTAAATATGTGGTTGCAGCTAGGAGAGCCTATATATCAAAAATAATATTTATTGATTGTTGATGGCAAGATTATTACAGTTTTGCGTGTCATGATTTTAAAATTTTACTTGTACAAAATATTTGTTGGTATTAATATAATATTTAAGATAAATCATTTGTAAATTAATATTTTATTAAATCCCTCGAAACGAAACATAGAAAATCGTCTTTTCATTTTTTCGCACTGCAATGAAACAATCATGGAGCCTTGTCGTATCATATCACATTAGAAGTTTATTCGGAACCGAGCTGAACTCTAAGTTGCTATTCAAAGTAACTGAGATTATTTAAAGATTCTCTTGATGAATTGAAAAAGATGCGACTGATTAATCTTATGTTATGTGCTAATTTTATTTTATTTTAAGGGTGAGTGAATTGAACAGTAATAAGTTAAAAATCCGAAATTGGCGGAGTTAGAGAAAATTCGGAATCAGTTATGAGTCAAATAGGCTTCAATAGAATAAATAAAACAAATTACTTTTCAGAATCATTATTATTAATGATGCAAAGAAATAATATGAAGTCTCTCGACAAACTATTATCATCAACCATATATATCAACCATACAAAGTCTGCAAACTTGTTACTCAGCAAATATTATGATAGTAATTTCTTTGCAAATTTTGATGTTTACTACCAACAGTTGATTACGTCATCAGTATTCAGTTGATAACGTATTGATAACGTATTGATTACGTATTCAAATCTAGAAAAGGTCTGTAAGTTGTTTTCTGAACTCCTCTATGTCTTCTATCAGAATCTCACCCTCCTCAAGTTCAGCAGGCATAACGTGACTAGCTCCATAAACCTAGGTGGTATTGAATAGTGTGATATTATGTTATACTTATAGTCTAATAAATTTGTAGAAGCAACACATGAATTTGTTTTGAATTACTTATGTTAAAATGATATCAAGGACAGTCATATCATTTATGATATAAAATATCCAAGCAAAGTCATCAAGGCAGCACATAGAATTAATTCATTTTAGTTCAACATACTTGTGACGTGATTGTGCGCCTCCCATCCCCCACAATAAATTGCTCATAAAACTCCACAAACTCCCCCACCGTTAATGCCTCCACAGCCGCCAGCCTCTTCTCTACCTTGCTAAAGTCCGTAGTAGAAGAAAAGATTTGAGAATTAAAATCGCGAGCACGTGAGTACAGACTCGTGTGTTTTGCCCGTACAGATATCCGCTGTTTCAGCGCCAGTTTCGCTCCCTCAAACTTGGTCAGACCCTCATCTGTCCCGGCTAGATGATGGAATAACACCCTCTGTTGATCTATGAGGTTGTAGATCTCACGGTTCATCACGTCAGGTCCTGCTTTGTCACGGGATCCTTGTATGTAGAAGTAAAAGTGAAGAACGGTACCCAGATCCTCAAAAGCAAAACAGTTAGCCGCGTACCCCAGTTGTTTCTGTGAAGATTAACGGGGTAATATGTCAATAAGTGTAATCGGATTATTCTAAAAATGAAAGTTGAAAATATAATAGAAACCAACCAATGGGATGACGAAATATATGAGATTCATTTTGAAATAAAATTTATTAAGACTCAGCTCTAACCTCAGTTCTCAAATAGTTAAAGCAAGCTGGTCCCATGATGAGTGCCAGCAAATCCGTTAGAGCAGACAAAGTGTAGGGTGGTTTATCAGAATCACTCCCTGTAGATTCAGACTTGCCTATCTGAAACCCAATTAGAATTGTAGATGGTTCTGCCTCTGCTATCTCCATTTGACGTCTGATCACGTGTGGCGACCCAGGTGGTAACTTGTAGAGTCCCAGATCTTCAGTTAGTGTTCTCCTGTCTTCATTTCTTATAGTTGAGCCCATTTGTAGGAGTCTTTCTTTTATCATCTGGGAGTACTTGATAGCGTGGTGTTTCCTTACATTTCCCATCGCACTGCAGGTCACAGATATGTCCTCGAGGAAGCTACTCATGTATTCTTTGATATCAGATTGAGTGACTGTAGCAGCCATATCTTTCGCAGCAGAAGGATCGATAGGTTTTTCATATATTGTAATGGTCACGTGTCTGTAGGCTGTCTGGGGTCCAGTATTGGTACTGACATCAAATATCCTTTGAGTTGGTTTCACGACAGTGGCGTTAAAACGTGCTTCATCCATCTCAAAGCTCAAACTGAACAAGGCGTTCATCATTTTGATGATAACGGCCTCTATCTTCTTGGGGTCGGAATAACCAGAAATAGATATTGTCCAGTCTTTTGCAAATTTGATTACTGGATGCATCTTCACTTCTTTAACGTCGTAAAATGCTAAGTCTTTTATTTGATCAAACATCAGGTCCAACATATAAAGAATCGCTTTTGATCTAGCATCTGTGGCAATAGTAGATGGGTAGATCTTACATTTTATCCACACCTTCGGTTTTTGCCACTCTTGATCTTGAAACCACCAAATGTTGACATCGTCTTCATTCCTACTCACAATTTCTAACGGTAAATCCCCAGCGTCATCCTCAATCCGGAATATTTTCAAATTTTTCGGTATCAGAGTATTGGGTTTAGGCAAATGAAGTTCTGGATCTGTTTCAATATCCCTCCAGGCCTCCAGCTGCTCCTCAGTGAAACTAGTGTCAAGGTAAGGTGTATTGTAATAATATTCACTTTTTGTCAGACGAGGACCATGGCTCGTGGCTTCAGAGTCTGAGAAGGAATCTGATCCAACGTAAAGATTAAAATTGTCCGGATCGAAGAAGCCCAGAATCTCATTTTCCGCCGTCACATCCAGTTTCTCTTGGGACGGTGCTCCCAGAAACTTGCGTGGATCATTAGTTGCCTTCATGTTTCCTACGATACTATAAGCAATACTATTAGGTCTCACTTTCTCTTGGAACCTAAACGTTAGCTTGTTAATCTCGTTAACTGAGTTCCACAACTGAACGTTAACCCCATCACTACATGTTGCTCTCAGGTACCTAAACACTGCAGTAAGTATAAACTCCGGATCAGTAACTCCCTTCTCGGTGGCCCCGCATATCAGAGCTAGGATTACTTTCTGTGGGCCATCAAGTGTGGTTTCAGCTGACCAACTTGTTGTGATGTAACCACGTGTGAGAAGGTACTGGTAGATTGAGCCGCTCCCTTTGTGGTTTAGCAGGTATTTTATGTAGCTTAGAGAGGGGTAGCCTGGAATGTTGACTGGGAATCCTATTGTTATTTCGTGTCCGGTTCCTTTTATTTTATAATAGATCTTCTTCCCGAGGTACCTCTTGTCTTTGGTCGGAAAGGGTAAAGATGTGTATATCGGCAGTTGTCGATTGTTGTTTGGGATGTTGCCAAACGTTTCCTCTGCAAGGCCTTCCAAACTGAAAAGAAAATATAGCATAAAAGAAAACGTGAAATATGACGAAAAGATTGCTTATACGAATATTTGTGAACAAAATCACTAGGAAATCTGACATATTTATAAAAATACAGGATTTAACAGAATTAAAACTTGATTAAACAGGATTAAAACATGATTAAACAGGATTAAAACAGGATTTGAACAGGATTCATAAATTACCTATCAAGAGTATCATTAGCCACGATAACCAGAGAGATGAGGTTAGCACTGTAGAACCGATCATGGAACGCTACCACCTGTTCGTATATATCAGTAACGTTGAGAGTTTCTCTGCTTCCTACTGTAAATCCACTGTCTCTGGCTTCCGGGTTAGAGAGCTCCAGGGATAACGTGGCCAGACTTCTGAAGGAAACAAGGTTGGAAGAAAGTATTTTTAGAATTAAGTTATATTAAAGATACGACAAAACAGCTGATGATGATTTAGAATTATTAATTTTTTGACCCAGTCATATCTGGTAAAAGTTACGAGGGGTTTTTACAGCTTAAATCAAGCAGTATACTTGCAAACGTTTTCAATGGAGTAATGCATTGAATAATTAGTTAACACTTACCTGATATCACTTCTCAGACGAATTCTATATTCACTGTCCACTGCTTCAATAGCTGATTCGAACATGTTTCTCGAGAATATTGGTTCACCTTAGGTTAAAATACATTTTTAGCTTTAATATTCAGTATGTTGATAAGTTAATAAATCAGTATAGCTAAATAATAGCTAAGTAATCGCTTATCATGGAATTAGTGATGGAAATTATCCGTAAAAATTTAAAACTCAAAAATTAGAATTACCTATTAAGCTGGCGAGCATTTCCCCAGCCTTTGCCCAAGACTTGTTGTTGACTTGAAATACGTACCCAGTATAGGTCGATCCTGTAAAACCGTTATACCCTCCGCCATTCTCTTCTAGATAACTGAAAGACAATATTTCAATACTTCTAGTAGTAGTACTGTAGCAGGAGTACGTTTTATTAACAAAAATTAAATGATGAGAAATTTGTCAAAAATTATTACTTTCCTGTTAGACCATTGCCTTGGGCCACGTTTCTAATCACGTTAAAAGGCCTCGCTTATCTTAAGTTGTTTGGGGGTAAGGTTAGGAACTGGAGCTTAGTTCATGGTTATGTTTAGGGCTTGAGAATAATTGGAGTAAAACTAACTCAGTATATAATTTTCCATCAGGGTACTTCACAGATCCAAAGAATATCATATGTTCCACAAGATGGGCGAGTCCAGCTGTATCCTCGTGCACAGCGCCAGCATCTGAAGATAACAATTCAAGTTTAATTTCTAGTAGTATTATTCAATATTGTGTTATGAAATGAAAATAGACATATTAGCATATTGATAAATCCAAATGATTAATGAAGTTGGTGACCATGCTTGCGGTCGATACGGCTGTGCAGTGGTCTTAATAGTTCCATAGTGGGATATGAACAAAAATTTAACAATTAAGTCGCGTTAATCAACATTTTTATATCACTAACCAACTTGCAGTTGCACAGCAGCTATCTCAGTACTCTTATCTGACACCAGGACACATCTTATCTTGTTAGACAGCGTCACTGCTCTGTACTCGTTATCATCAGAAGCACTTTTTACTATTTGCTCCTCATCACTGCTTCTCTTTGTTGGGGAGGTGGTGCACACAAGTATCAACACAGCAAGGAGGAAGGTCGATATAAGGGCAGGTCGAAGAATCATTTTAAAACTATTGAAAAAGTTTGTTGAGAACAATCAGCTGAAGTCTATACTCTATAATAAGTGTGAACGGTATAAAAACGTGGGAAAGTGGTGGTAACAAGATTTGCCGCGAATTCTTGTAACTGTAAGTGAATTACTGATAAACCGGACTGCCCTCTGCAGCTGTAATCGGATCAAGGATGTTGATTGAAAATGTTCGTTATCACCAATCACGTTGCGTTTTGCTGTTTAAATGAATTAATTAGTTGCTGTCTAGACTCTTATATTTTGAGTAGTTAAGTGGAGCGCTGTTTCCAGGCAATTTTGTTCCTTTCTTAGACACTGAAGTCAAGACTGAAACAGGAAGTGTTCTTATCAGCACATATTACAGAATACCTCAGAACAAAGGCATTATATTACCCGCTAAGTCATACTACCCACTTTCATCCAGGGAGGACTAGGTCCTCTAAACTTCTAGAAAACTAGAAACTTCATTGGGACATGAAGAACCCCTCTTCTCATTGAAAATAGGGGATGCTTGGCGCGGAAAAACAATAGGTATGAACCTCGGAGATCAGTGCCTGATCAACCTACATCACGAAAAAGGAAGTGCTCGAGTGAGTATAAAGCTCTTCTCAAACTCCCATATAGTTTCTAAAGAAAAAAAGGTTGGCAGTCAAAACAATGTTCACACCTGGGCGAACATTAAGCCAACGGTTTTGTTAATCTAGGGCACTTGATAAGAAAAGTATTTTGTTTTGAGGATTTTACTACGTTAATTTTCGACTTTTTAAATTTTATACTAACAAAAATTTGCTTTTTGTAATTTCAAGTTTATGAAGATGTCGAACATCCGAAATATTTCGTTTAAAGAAAATCATCGTTTCAACTGTCAAGATCGCAACAGAGGAGAAATAAAATGTACACATCGTTTCTTATATTTCATTGGTATAAATTTGTATAACTTGCACGCCCACATATACTGACATTTGAAGAATGAGACGGTTTATTATAGTTTTGGCCTACCATGAGGCCAATAAATTTGGTTACAAAAATTTTGGTTACCATAATTTTAGTCACAAATTCCGCAAATTTTTAGTCTACAATAATTTTAGTCACATTTTTCAACTTTTCGAGATCATTTTCCATTCCATTTATTTGATTTTTCCATTACATATAGCAGCGGTTTTAAAAGCTAAATTCTAGAAGGGGTCGTTTCACATGATTACCTTAATGAGTTAAACTAGTATAGATGCATATACTGCCTGATGGGAAAAGGAAGTAAGAGCATGTGAAAGCATAAAAGCAGTGGATTACATGTGTAATAGTCAAAGTAGTTCAGCAGTAGGAACGGTGATGTCATTCATTATATTAATTATAAACAATGTAAGCTCAACAATATTCAGGTCATATATGCTCTACTGAGATTTTGGTCTGCTTTTAAATTAGTCGCCGAAAAATTTAGTCTCAATAAATTTGATTTACAACAATTTTAGTCAAAATGCGGACTAAATTTATGTTAGACTAAATTTGTCGTTCTTAAGGTATTTATTAAATCTAGCTTCAGGGTGAAGGCCGTGGAACTAATTCACTTCCAGTGATTACAAATAATATTCTGGAGATCTTTGCAGGTTTGTATGATTAGGTTTGGTATTACACATTATTATGATTGAGCAATATTTATAACAGAGGGTAAAACATAAACCTATACTCAAACCGAAACTACATTTCGAGAAGCTGTACTAAACAGTGAACACCTTAAGGGGGCATACACCAAAACAGTGGTTTGTGCTGTCCAACCCAAATGACCTCATAGTCAGTTCAGTGAACATTTAGCGCACCGTTTCCACATCCAAAAAAATTATTTTGAGAATACCCATTTTTGTAATCGAGCATTTCCTGGTTAGAGTGGAATTTTCGGAAAAACACAATTTGTTTCTTGGAGAGGCTATAAGTTAATCATTTCTTGCGGTATCCGCGGGTTGAAATTTTGCTCGCCGTCTATTAACATCTATTTCAAGGTGTCTGTAAAATCTTGATATCGTATCTAAAAAGGCTGGTGTGTTATAAATTTTTAAAGTTAAAAAGAAAATGTGATTTTTTATCTGCAAAGCCAAAAAATCACATTTTCTCCCATAACTTCAAAGGGAAGCATTTTAGGGTGTTTTGTTGTTCATAACTCATATATTAATGTGCTAGTTGCGGTTATTTTGCGCCCTTCAAAAAGTCACTAGCACATTCCTATCAAAATTTTAGAAAAATCAGTAAATATTAAAAACGAAAAATGTGCCTAAATTTGTTGTTTGGCTTTGAAGTCCAATAGATCTAAAGATAAATGAGTAAAAACATTTTTGAGGGCATCAAAAACTGCGCCAGAATTCAGAGAACAAGTTCATGTCAACCATCAAATCAATCCGATCTTCGGAAGATCATCTTCCCTGACTGACTTTTTGGTTAAAATAAGTCTGAAAAGTACAATTTTAACTTTTTGACTTTTTTAAACTTTAAAAATTTATAACACACCAGCCTTTTTAGATACGATATTAAGATTTTACACACACCTTGAAATAGATGTGAATAGACGGCGAGCAAAATTTGAACCCGATACCGCAAGAAATGATTAACTTATAGCCTCTCCACGAAACAAATTGTGTTTTTCCGAAAATTCCACTCTAACCAGGAAATGCTCGATTACAAAAATGCGAATGGGTATTCTCAAAATAATTTTTTTATGTGGAAACGGTGCGCTAGATGGTCACTGAACTGCCTATGAGGTCATTTGGGTTGGACAGATTTGGTGTATGCCCCCTTAAGTGTTCACACCTATGAAATAAATTATAAACTGAAACACTCTAAATTGTAAATATTCATAAATGAAAGAACCGCTAAATACGTAAATCCTTAAACAAATTCGTGCGCGACAATGTGCACCTCTCAATGGCTTGTATTACCTGAGCACCTTTATAGGCTTCTCGGTATAACTATACAATTTCTCCGAACGAAGGTTCCGCAGAAGGGACGGCTGGCGCCAACCATCAAGGAAATAAAAGCTTTTAATAATTTTCCAGAACCCTTGCTGCTTTAAACTCATAATTTTTTAACTTGGTCCAAAATATTGTTCAGTGATGAACCCAACCCCTGAACCCCACTAAACGTTATATTATATTAGCAACCAAACTTAACGAACAGTTCAAAAAGAGAAGAACGACTATGCTTCCTTTTCTCATCGAAAAAAAGGACCCAGAATCTTTAATTGAGCAGCTACACCCATGGAATCGGATATACATTTTTACATGGGGAATAAAAGATGTAATATGATCGGATAGAATAATTAAGCAGATCTGACTTAGGTTAAGGTTTATATTAAATTTATAGTCATTTTTAGATATTATGTTCTATTATATTATCATTAATTGAAAATTTAGCCCATTAGATATGGCCGGCCTCGCCAATAACTCGCGTATTTCAACACTGTACTAACTTACTAAAAAACCAATTGATGAATGAATCGTATTGGCTCTAATTTCAATAATGATGACGGCAAGTGTCGGTTAAATATAGTGGCCGTATAGTGCCACATGCCACTGGCTCATTAGTGGCTCGATAGTGGCTCGATAGTGGCTCGATAGTGGCTCGATAGGTGCTCGATAGTGGCTCGATAGTGGCTCGATAGTTGCTCGATAGTGGCTCGATAGGTGCTCGATAGTGGCTCGATAGTGGCTCGATAGTGGCTCGATAGGTGCTAGATAGTGGCTCGATAGTGGCCCGATAGTTGCTCGATAGTGGCTCGATAGGTGCTCGATAGTGGCTCGATAGTGGCTCGATAGTGGCTCGATAGGTGCTAGATAGTGGCTCGATAGTGGCTCGATAGGTGCTAGATAGTGGCTCGATAGTGGCCCGATAGTTGCTCGATAGTGGCTCGATAGGTGCTCGATAGTGGCTCGATAGTGGCTCGATAGTGGCTCGATAGGTGCTAGATAGTGGCTCGATAGTGGCCCGATAGTTGCTCGATAGTGGCTCGATAGGTGCTCGATAGTGGCTCGATAGTGGCTCGATAGTGGCTCGATAGGTGCTAGATAGTGGCTCGATAGTGGCCCGATAGTTGCTCGATAGTGGCTCGATAGGTGCTCGATAGTGGCTCGATAGGTGCTAGATAGTGGCTCGATAGTGGCCCGATAGTTGCTCGATAGTGGCTCGATAGGTGCTCGATAGTGGCTCGATAGTGGCTCGATAGTGGCTCGATAGTGGCTCGATAGTGGCTCGATAGTGGCTCGATAGTGGCTCGATAGTGGCTCGATAGTGGCTCGATAGTGGCTCGATAGTGGGTCGATAGTTGCTCGATAGTGGCTCGATAGTGGCTCGATAGTGGCTCGATAGTTGCTCGATAGTGGCTCGATAGTTGCTCGATAGTGGCTCGATAGGTGCTCGATAGTGGCTCGATAGTGGCTCGATAGTTGCTCGATAGTGGCTCGATAGTTGCTAGATAGTGGCTCGATAGTGGCCCGATAGTTGCTCGATAGTGGCTCGATAGGTGCTCGATAGTGGCTCGATAGTGGCTCGATAGTGGCTCGATAGTGGCTCGATAGTGGCTCGATAGTGGCTCGATAGTGGCTCGATAGTGGCTCGATAGTGGCTCGATAGTGGCTCGATAGTGGGTCGATAGTTGCTCGATAGTGGCTCGATAGTGGCTCGATAGTGGCTCGATAGTTGCTCGATAGTGGCTCGATAGTTGCTCGATAGTGGCTCGATAGGTGCTCGATAGTGGCTCGATAGTGGCTCGATAGTTGCTCGATAGTGGCTCGATAGTTGCTAGATAGTGGCTCGATAGTGGCCCGATAGTTGCTCGATAGTGGCTCGATAGGTGCTCGATAGTGGCTCGATAGTGGCTCGATAGTGGCTCGATAGTGGCTCGATAGTGGCTCGATAGTGGCTCGATAGTGGCTCGATAGTGGCTCGATAGTGGCTCGATAGTGGCTCGATAGTGGGTCGATAGTTGCTCGATAGTGGCTAGATAGTGGCTCGATAGTGGCCCGATAGTTGCTCGATAGTGGCTCGATAGGTGCTCGATAGTGGCTCGATAGTGGCTCGATAGTGGCTCGATAGTGGCTCGATAGTGGCTCGATAGTGGCTCGATAGTGGCTCGATAGTGGCTCGATAGTGGCTCGATAGTGGCTCGATAGTGGCTCGATAGTGGCTCGATAGTGGCTCGATAGTGGCTCGATAGTGGGTCGATAGTGGCTCGATAGTTGCTCGATAGTGGCTAGATAGTGGCTCGATAGTGGCTCGATAGTGGCTCGATAGTGGCTCGATAGTGGCTCGATAGTGGCTCGATAGTGGGTCGATAGTTGCTCGATAGTGGCTCGATAGTGGCTCGATAGTGGCCCGATAGTGGCTCGATAGTGGCTCGATAGTGGCCCGATACTCCATAGAGGCTCGATAGTGGTTGAATATCGTGGCATTGTATAGACCGTACCGTGGACGTATAAAGACCATGATAGCTATTCGCCTTTTTACAGTTTTCTACATCTTTTTATAAATTTGTTATTGGAACCACCCGGAGTCTGCACTTATGAAATTAAATCTTATATACGATCAAAACTTATTTATTCGACCTTTTTAGAATTGAAACAAGTCTAAAGTAAGTGGGTAAGTGGGTACAAGTGAAACAACCGTTTGGAATAATCAATGTCAATCGTGGAGAACCGAAAAATACCTCGAATAGAAAAACAAGGGCGTAGTCGGAGGGGGGGGGGGGTCATTTTTACACTCTGAATTGACTTTTTTTCACAATGCCAATTAGTTTTACAAGTGGTCTCCGAGTCTAAAATTCACATAACATGTTAAAGGGGTTATCAATATACAATTGCTAAAGACTTAAAGTTAACATAAGGTTAACATAAACGACCTCTGATGAGTTATAACAGAATTAATTATCTATACACATGTAGGGTACTTTAAGTCTTTCATACATATTTTGACACCAGGGTGTGGACGGGCTGCACCTGGTTAAAGCACTTCCATCCCCTTAAATTAAAATTTCAAATTATTTTTTATATTTTAGTGTTGAAAGTATTAATACTATAAATAATGATGTATAATACTAAAAATAACACCACGTTTCAGCTAAATTAATTATCCCAAATCAAAATCCCGTATGATCACTTTAGCGCGACAATATGTCACGTCTTTTGTATTTTGGTTTGGCGCAAATATATTGGTTTATAAGCTCCAAACCGGAGCAGTTAATGAATCAGTCCCTTTCATTTTCTGCCTGACCAGTTCTACTTCTCAGGTTTCCAAGCTATCGTTTGATTGAATGTTTGATAACATCTGTAATGTACTTTTTAAAAGAGTGTGAGGTGTTCTCTGAACGCCTCAATATCTTCCACCAGAATTTCACCCTCCTCAATTGTGTCCGGCATCACGTGACTCGATCCGTACACCTAGATGATATAATAATTAATTGGTAATTGCAAACGTACATTAATTATATTACTACATGTATAATTTTACAGTAAGCCTTAACTAATACGCTTAACAATTCAAAATGTTATTGCCTCAATACGAAGCAGTTAATTTTTGCCTAAAGGTATAATCTCTGCTTCAGATTGAGGCCATCATGTCATGTGCCTAAGAATGCCATTAATAAAAAGATAAAAGTTGTCACGTCCTACCTGAGACGAGATTCTCCTTTTTGTGTCTCCGACAATAAAATTTTCGTAAAGTTCCAGGAAATTCTTCACAGTTATACTCTTAATTGCAGCCAACAATTTATCAACTCTATCAAAATCTCTGGTGGAAGAGTAAATCTCCTCAGTCAGCTTTCGGGACTTATCCCAGAGCGTCCGAGGTTTTATTGATATTGTGTCGCTATACGCCTCCTTCACTTCCTCAAACTTCAGTTCTCCCTCCAGACCTTGGGCGAGAAGGCGGTATGTCTCGTGTTGTTGGGCGATCAGGTTGTTTATCTCCCGGTCGACAACATCAGGGCCAGCACCGGGTCTAGATCCTTGAACTCCGAAGAAGAAGTTACTGACTCCATTGTAACTTCGACTGTAACAAAACGCCATGTAACCCAGCTGTTTCTGAAATATGTGGATGCTTGTTTTATCAGCCGTTTAAGAATCTAACACTGGCAAACAGGTGCACAATTTCAAACTCAATGTACTGATGAAAGCAGCATTATGACAATGAACTTGCACTGCAGCACTGAACCAACTCAACCACGAAGGAATATAAAAAGCACTTTTAAAACGTTACCTCAGTTCTTAAGTAGCTGAAGCAAGATTGTCCCATTATGAGCTCCAATATTCCAGTAAAAGCTTTCACAGTGTAGGGTGGACTATCCTCCATTCCACAATCAGCCTCTTCCCGTCCTATTTGGAACATAACCAAAGTTGCTGAGTTCACCTCGTCTGGATTCTCCATACTACGTCTTATCACGTGGGATGGTCCAGACGGGAGCTGGTTGATGTTTTGGTCTTTTAAACTTCTCCTATCTTCATTTTGAATCGTAGATCCGTGCTCCACAAGCTTTTCTTTGACGATGTTTGAGTATCTTATTGCGTGTTCTTTTCCAACGTTCCCAAAAGTACTGCAGGATAGTGAAATGTCTGCAAGGAAGTTTGTCATGTACTCTTTAACCTCAAGTTGGGAGATCTCTCCAGCTGCTTTCTTCACATCAGTCCAATCTACAAAATCCTGGAAGACTATGGAGTCGATGTATTTGTCAGCAAAGTGGTTTGGACCTTCATGATCTTCATCGTAATGCTCTTGAACGGGTAGCACAACATTCGATTTGAAAAGAGCGTCATCCACTGTAAAGTCCAAGTTGAAGAGTACATCCAACATCTTATTCAAAACATCTTCAACTTTCTTAGGATCGGAGTGACCGAACACGACAATGTACCAGCTCTCATCAAAATCAACTATTGGATTGAAATCTGCTTCCCATGCTTCATACAGCGCCAGATTTTTAACTAATCCATAAATATCACTAATCATATTCTCTAGTGCCCATGTTCTAGCATCTCTGGTAATCTGGTTAGGGAAAATCTTACACCCAGTATAAAGTTTAGGTTGCATCCACTCCTGGTCTTGGAGCCACCATATGCTCATATCAGCCTCATCCCTGCTAACTATTTCTGTTGGCAACTTTCCAGCGTCATCCTCGATATCGAAAATTTCAAAATTGTTGGGAACAAAAGTGTTGGGTTGGGGCAGATGAAGTTCTGGGTCAGTTTCAACATTCCTCCAAGCCTGTAATTGCTCCTCCGTGAAATTGGTGACAAAATAAGGGGTGCTGTAAAAGTACTCATGTTCAGTCAGTCGAGGTCCGTTGCTGGTGGCCTCAGTGTCTGAGAAGGAATCTGACCCAACATAGAGATTGAAATTATCCGGATGAAAGAAACCCAGAATCTTATTCTCAACCTCTACATCCAGAGAGAGCTGGGAAGGTGCTCCCAGATACTTCTGTGTAACGTTGCTCGTCCCCATACGATCGAGTATAGAGCTAACTAAAGATTCACCTTTCTCTTTCTCCTGGAACCTGAAGTTAAGTTCATTTATCTGCTTCATAGATTCCCACAACTCTTCATCAACTCCATCACTGCAGGCCGCTTTTAGATACTTGAACACGGTCTCTACAATAAAGTAAGGGTCAGCAATACCCTTCTCCGTGGGCTGGCAGTACACGGCTAGGGGCACAGTTTGGGAATCCTCGAGGATCACGAAACTACCGAATGTTGTAGCGTACCCTCGAGATAAAAGATATTGATAGATTGATCCACTACCTTCGTGGTCTAGGAGGTAGATTATGTAATCTACATTTACGTAGTTTGCCAAGTTTATTGGAAATAGGAAAGTTAGTTGGTCGACTTTTCTCTTCATTTTAAAATATACTTTCTTTCCCAGGTATCTTTTGTCACTGGTGGGAAACGGTAAGGCGCTGTTTTGTGGTCTTTTTCTGTTCTTGTTGGGAACCTTACCAAATGTTTCTTCTGCTAGGAGCTCCAAGCTGAGAGAGAAATTTATTAACAATGTTATTAACAATGTTAATGTCGGAATACAAACAGATTTTACAGATTCATCCAGTCGGAATTAGATACGAGAACAAGAAAGCTTTTCGTCATAACTTTGAAAACTGAAAAAAAGAAGTTAATCCAACTACCTATCAAGAGTATCATTAGCAACGATAGCAATAGTCATAAGATTAGCGCTGTAGAACTGATCGTAAAACTCCAGGGATTGCTCGTAAATATCTGTCACGTTCAGAGTTTCCCTGCTTCCTGTTGAGAACTCGCGGTATCTGTTCTTTGGGTTATTCAGTTTCATTGCCAGGGCATACAAACTCCTGGGGGAGTATTCATCATGTTGACTTCGACGTATTACTTATCTCTTGGCTACAATTATTGTAGTAGGCATTCTTGAAAGAAATGTGTACGATTAAGCTTACTTGCAGCCAAGACGACTGCAAGAAAACTTAAGAAAAATGAAATAAGCTCGTTTATAACCGAAAATCGGCATAAAATATAATTTAAGGACTAAGGACAATATAAGGCTACGGACTGTTTCTGTTTGATGCATGAGAATAATAATTAAATAAAGGATCCGCGGAACAAATGTTACCACAGAAAAATGCATCAGGATCACAAAAAAGAGAAGGTGACGACTGGTGTTTTTGAGTTCAAATACCTGTAGTCATTCCGTATATTTATCTTATATTCACTGTCTACAGCTTGAATAGCTGAGGAAAACTTGTCTTTCGGGAAAAGAGGGTTACCTGGGTGATGAGAATTGAGAATATATATTAGAATTGTGGATATTAAAAATGTATGCATACAGTGATCCTTCACAACTAACATTCAATTTATTTCCTTTGATAAAAGTTCATCACAATTCACAGTCCTACACAATTTCAATAAAGGATGTATTCTTTGACAACACTTCTCAGTTTTTACAATTAAGTATTTCTTGAAAATTACCAACGAAGCTGGCCAGTATTTTAGCAGTCTGAACCCAGTATTCGTTCCTAATTTTAAATATGTAAGTTGTGGCTGATTCCCATGTAGCACCATTAAAGTTTCCTCCATTCTCTTGAATAAACCTGAGGGGTTGTTTCAGCTTGTCAGTAATATAATGTTCACCTATTACTCTATTAGGTACGCTAGCTAAGTTGTAATATGAGAATGATCTCTAACCATTACACTTATCACCCAATCATAGTATTTGTTATAATTATAATACTAAATTTCATGGTAGGAAAAGGTACCCCAAAGCTATAACTAACGATTGGTAGTGGTTTCCATCAGGGTACTCGGGGGATCCCTCAAACAGCATGTGTTCCACAAAATGGGCAAGTCCTGGTGTGTCCTCAGCCAGATAGCCTGAAGCTGAAGGAGGGTAAATCACAATTAGTTTTTAAATGTATCATGGCTGTATTTTGTATAAGCTTATTTATTAAACTATAATCAATACGCTATATAACGCTGGGAATTTTACTTCACATCCCACGATATCACCATAAGGTTTTAAGGGGGCTTATAGCGCCCCGCTAGGAGATATTGTAAAGCTGCATATAATGCCCGAAGAAAAAGTCTGTGTCTTCGAGGTCTTGCTGTCAAACTCAATTAGGAAATCTTCCAAGATCAGGTTTCTCATACAGCGTCCCTACCATTTTATTATTGGTATTTATCAATCTAAATGTCAACACATTTCTACCCCAGCTAGTATTTTGGATTGATAATCCTCGTAGAAGTAATACTGCCATCGCTGCTTTTTATAATTACAATTCGTAAAATGAATGTAGACTAGATACTTGTACGTGACAACTGTAAACCAATTTCCTGTTTTGTAATTATCTCAGTAGGCTGGTAATTGGGTTCTGTTATCATTCATCCGCCTTAAGTTGCCAAGTTCCGACTATGACTGAAGGTGCTAAGTGGTACCAACCACAACAAGGATGATTATTTTTGTACAAGTCTAAACTCGGGCCCAAAATACTCCTAAACTTGGTTTTACTAGAGATCAGAAAGAAAATTATTATTGCATTGATGAATCTTATTTGGCACTAAAGTTTAAATATGTATTATAATCCCAACTTAGAAATATAGGTGGCAAAACATTAAAACAGCTCTTTGTGTTAATCACACTGTTACGTTATCTAAAACAAGCTATAGCAATAGTCGTTATCACACTTACCAACACGAATCTCAACAGCAGCTATCTCAGTACTCTTATCTGACACCAGGACACATCTTATCTTGTTAGATAGCGTCACTGCTCTGTACTCGTTAACATCAGAAGCACTCTTTACTATTTGCTCCTCATCAATGCTTCTGGTCTCTCGAGAAGTAGGGGAGGCGAAGCAAAATGAAATTAACAAAGTGGTTACCAAAACATAAACGGTAGTTTTGCTGACTATCATCATGCAAAAAGAGCAGCCTCGAGTAAAAAAACGTGATTTTGTGTTTTAGAAAACTCGAATAAACGACCTAAAACGATTCAGATATGAGAGCTGAGCTTGAATGTGGTGGTATTGAGTTGGCAGTGTGTTTCGGTACGACGAGCATCATCAAATCGGTAAATTAGATTAAGAAATGGTCGTTATCATAATTGACCAATTACCAGTTTGGTGTTATTTGGCCTATTTTTCATGGGATATCTGTTATTGAACGTGTCATGAACTTATAACAACATGATATAGGAGGTTCCCCTTCTCCTGTTTCTCTAGAGTTGCGGCACCAACCGATGAAGAGTAATTATTAAGAAATAGAGGTAAAGAAGAAGCTCTAACCTAGTAAACTTTAAAGTGGGTGGCACTAATTTGATCACGGCCCCACCCTCCACACCCATAATTTAAAACATCTGATAATTTAAAACATCTGATGTGAGCGTAAAATATAATTTCTAAAGATATCAGCTTCTTCCATGATTGGAAGCTTACAACCAGTTCCTTTTTTTGCCCATGTTAAGAATAAATTACAAGTCATACGTATTGTGGTACACCCTAGGTCGTACAATGTACATTGTACCTAGGGTGTACCACAAAAAGTGTATTTTTTGAGAAATGATACAAAATATTATGAAGGAGCAGTGTATATATCAATATATACATAATATATGAATATCACAATATAATATAGGAATAAAATAATGAGAAAATGTCAACGTTGCTGTTATTTTAAGATTTGATATTAACATATATATTATATAATATAATAAAGCTACGTCGTAAGTTCGTAATTTAAACTGACAGCATTTGCAATTGCATAATATACACCCGTTTGAAATGTGGATGCCGCTATAATATCTTTGAATGTTGAGATGAAAGGAATTATTAAACTCGTATTTCTGCTTATATATTCCAGCCATCGTTAATAACTAATAAAGTAATAAGAATATAAGACTGATCAGGTGAATAATCTGAGAACATGTTGATTATAAACTTGCGTGTTTATAATTATTGTATCCTAGTTTTGCAGACAGTGTCGGGTTGCTGAAACGTTGCTGAGCAAAAAACGAATATTTATTACTATAACATGCTTATTCGTTAAATTAATAAAACTTCATTGGATATGACTATAAGAGCATTAATCAATATTGAAAACTTAATATCGCTCAGATATTTTTAACAATTCAATATGTTTAATATTCGTTATGCAATCTCCCATTAAAGCATCAACTCGCATAAAGAAAATAAAATAGCACGTTAATAGGTAACTTGGCTATAAGGACAACTTTACTGGGCGGCGTTCAGCCTGTCATTCCGCCAAATCTCTATTCGTTTATGAACATAATAGCCTGGGGTCCCCAGGTAAGTACAACTACTTATAAATTACAAGTGTTGCACCGATCAATAATACTGAATTTCTTTTACTTTTTTCTTATTTTTGAAATAGAATTAATAAGAATTGGTAAAATATTTCATAACTTCACTAATAGTTCAAATCACTGTTATGGAGTTTAAAATATTCAATCAAAACATGATGTTGATACACGCGCTGTCCAATCTTTTTTGGACCTTAGCAAAACAGATATCAAACTTTGTGTCATCCAAGTGATGGTAACAACAATTTGACGAATTTTCATCAATCTGTTCTGGTAGTAGAGTTCCCTACTAGAGATGTTGTTGATTTGAGTTTGAAGTTTGGGGTGAGAATAATGTAGATTATGGGGTTTAGCGTGGAGATAAGGGAAGGAACAACTGTTTGGAACATCAAATAAGTTATAATATTTCCTAAAGTCGCACCGTCTCTTTCTACATCACCTTGGAATGCTGTTATTATGATTACGATAAGAAGAATCAAGCTACCCAGATTAGTCAAAAGTATTTTAGAGCAGCTTCTAATCCTGTTTTCTTTCTTTCCTGCACCTCCTGAAACTGGATTTAGATAAACCTTCACCAGCTCGGTGATCGTGAGAACAGATGCAATCATGGCTCCGATTTGTAAAATGACAGGAACGGCGATGACGAAGAAGAAGTATCCGAAGCTATCAATCTGAATTCCCAGCACCCTCGGACAGTAACTCCACGCAAACGATAGTGATGTGGTTTTTTGGGGCTTGCAACCCTCTTTATCGCTCACATCAAACATGGCGCAGCCAACAACCACTGGAACCCAGGTAATCGTGATGAGAAGTGATGATATCACGTATTTTAGCTGTATTGGATGGAGAGGGTATCTGATCTGAAGGAAACGTGTGCCAGCAAGAAATGCTGTAATGTGAGCCGGTGAGAGTGACATGGTAAAACTGATGACTGAATTAAGTTTCACTCCCAGAGTAGCATCCACTTCTCTCTTGAAATATTCTTTATTGCAAGTCACCTCCTCACTATTTATACACTCCTCCTCCTTTTCTCTTAGAAAGTCCCCCGAGGAAGCCCTCAGTAGTACCCACGATGTCAGAAGATCTGCAGCAGATAGAAAGAGGTACAGATTTCTTGCCACGGAGATCTTCTTCTGGAAGTTGTGATAGAAGACCAGGGAGTTAAGCACTGTACAGACGATGATAACACAGATACAGGATACTGTCATGTAAATGTCCGGCGAGCTGACACCCCCATCACTTAAAACTGCCATCTTTAAAAACCTGGATAAAACTTCAAGAACTGAGTCGGGCTTTAAGCAGATAAGTGCAATCTATATATTATCTGAGACTGAAGTAAACTAACGCACCAAGTTTTAGAATAGTCAGAACTGCCATTAACTCCAGTCTATAATTTGTTTTTTAATGAGTTCCAGCTGCCCTTAACTATACCCGGCCCCGTGCTCTGTTCCAGACTTACGATCTTTATTAATTATTTCTATGATGTAAGCATATTGTTAGATAATCTGTAGATCTGTATGACCCACGTGTAGTCATTAACAGGCTAGGGCCCGGCTAGGGTGTCTGTGAGCAATGTGTGGAGATATTCTAAATTTAGAATGTGGAGGATCTAGACACTTACTGTGGACACTGGACAGGGTTTTATGTTTATAGCAGAGTAAACTGCCATCTTTAAAAACCTCGATAAGGCTGAAACTTTAAGAACTGAGTCGGGCTTTAAGCAGATAAGTGTAATCTATAATCTGTATATCTGAAGGAAACTACCACACCAGTCACCAAGTTTTAGAATAGTTGAAACTGCCATTTATAACTCCGGTCTATAATTTATTTTTTAATGAGTTCCAGCTGCTCTTAGTTACCCCCGTGCCCTGTTACAGACTTACGATCTTTATAATTATTTCTATAATGTAAGCATCTTGTTAGATAATCTGTAGATCTGTATGACCCACGTGTAGTCGTTAACAGGCTAGGGCCCGGCTAGGGTGTCTGTGAGCAATGTGTGGAGATATTATAAATTTAGAATGTGGAGGATCTAAATTTTGGATGCCGCTTATATGTCTTTGAATGTCGAGATGAAAGAAAATTGTTAAACTAGTTTTGCAGCTCATCAGCTTTAACAAAGTAGCGAATTGAAATGGTTAAAAGAATTTTCTTCTTTTCAACTTTTTAACAGTCAGATCTATTAATTCAAAACAAATCATATTAACCGTCACCATCCATCGTTAGTAACTAAAAAGTATATAAGACTGATCAGGTGAATAATCTAAGAATATGTTGATTATAAACTTGCGTGTTTATAGTATCCTTATGCGGCTACAGACAGTTTCGGGTTGCTTGAAAACCTGGAAAAAGTAGCTTTGTAGACGATATTAGCAATAAAACCGGTATTCCGTCGAGTCAGGTGATATAGCTTCAGAGAGTTTATTAACTTTTTAAGTCCGAATATAATAGACATAACTGATCGATATTGCTTTATAGTAGCTTGGATGCCACCGATTATATTAGCCACGTCAATTTTGAAGCCGATGAATAACCACGTGAGCGAAGAATGTATCAGCTTATCAGCTAGTCGTTAAGTCAGGACAGAATCATCACTCCGCAAATTAAGTATTCAACCTTTTAACTCTCCTTCGTATGAACTGAGCTGTGGTATCTCTTTAGGGAGATTTGAGGTGTCTCAACTTACTTAGTTGAGTGTGTCCCACAACCAAGCACCTTGCTTAGGAGTCCGGCTTTATATATTATAATGATGCTAGACCTAAAGACCTTAGTGGTAAGTAGCTCTATGTCAAAAAAATGAGCTATTTGATAACTGGATAACAAAAAATGGATCGTTGAAACAAGGAATGGATCGTATGGTGAAACTAAAAGAATGGAAATTGTGAGTGATAATGTTCCAATATTTTTTTCGCTTGACTCTTCCCACAGCACATCAAAATGTTCGTTCCTTGTCTGAGACTGTTTTGTTCTGCTAGAAACCACAATTCAGTCTCACGACCCTAATATAGCTCTTGAGTTCGGTGATGATGGACTAGTTATGTTATGCTGGATCTTGTGTATCTGTGTGTGCGTGGATTAAAGTGATAAACCGTATGGACAGAACACGATCTGTGATGCACTACAGAACACGAGCGGATCCTGTAATTCTACTCACTGCTAATCTTGGCAGTGTTTACCTGGGGCTATATCTATATTCTATATGCTAAATGACCGGTTTACACACAGCACAACTCCAGTACCTAATGAATGGTACCACGTGTGCTTGACAGTTTCTTGCAGCACCAGAACTGCAAAACCAACTCAAGAACCGGAGGACACTTGCCACAACCGCTGGGGATTCCTCCGCTTATCACAGTTCAAAGAACAGGTTCAATCAATTATATGAAAACTAGAAACCCGCTAGTCGAAAGTTTTGTTCGAGGAAATTTAAAAATCATTTATGTTTAAATTTCTTTAATCTCTTCACCATCTAGCTCTAAGCTCTGAACTGTAGAAAATATGGATTTAATTTGACAATGACAACAATGTTATAAATATTCGGATTCCCTAATCGATACCTTTTACCGCATCAAAAATATCAATCACAACCAAAGTTAACAATAGTCATAGCGTGAACGTTTATGTAGTGTGATCCCCAAACATCGGAGACGTGATCATTTTAGTAGGATATAGGAAAGAGTGGCGGACATTAGTTAGACTGAGACAACGTATACCAGAT